ATCACTTTGTTAAACTCTCTTCCAATCATAACTAAGGCATTAGATATTCCTTCATCTGTATCCAGGTAGCAGTCCTCCTCTTCATCTTCAGTATTGGTTACAAAAGCTATGCTTTTGTTCTTCTTTTCAGATCTTTCATTGATGCTTAATTCAAATGTCTGAAGTGATCCAACAAGTTCATCTACTTTCATCTTGTCAATGTCTTGTGCTTCTTCTATGGCAGTCACTTTCATATCAAATCTCTTGGGAAAAGACCTAAGAATCTTTCTCACCAATTTGTCTTCTGGAATTTTTTCTCCTAAAGCACCCACAGCATTAGCAATCTCAAGGATGTTCATATGGAAGTCATTAATTCTTTCATCATCCTTCATTCTCATATTTTCAAATATGGTGGTGAGCAACTGAAGTCTTGACATCTTCCCTTTGGATGTGCCTTCATGAGTAGATTGAAGAATCCCCCAGGCATCCTTAGCTACTTCACATGTGTTTACTAATCTAAAAATATTCTTGTCAATTCCATTGAATATAGCATTCAAGGCTTTAGAATTTACAAGAGCAATTTCATCCCCTTCTTTAGACCAATATTCTTCTGGATTTAACTCAGAATTAGGTTCTACATTTTCTCCCAATTTTACATGGTGTTTCCATCATTTTAAGACAGCTTTCCAAGCCTTGTCGTCTAGAGACTTTAAAAAGGCCATCATACGTGGTTTCCAATAGTCATAATTGCTTCCATCCATAATGGGTGGTCTGCTCACAAATCCTCCTTCCTTGTCCATAGTACCAAAAAGTATCTTCCCTAGATCTCACCCAGATATAGAGCAGAATGCATGCTCTGATACCAATTGAAATTCCAGTATCAGATATGTGATGTCGAAGGAGATGTCACGACACAAATATCTAAGGAAAATATAAAATGCAACAATATTAAAAGTAGTAAAAACACAAGGGATTATTAACCCAGTTTGGTGTACAACAATGCCAACTCTGGGGGCTACCAAGCCATGGATAAGTCCACTAAATAGTATCAATTTATAGACCCTCAGTAAATAACCAATTTACGATCTAATCACTTAATCATTATCCGTGCTATACTTATACCTAAGACACACCTAGGTATGAGGCCCTCCTCAAATCCCTTCAATCACTAACAGTGAAGAACAACATAAATATTAAGTTTTAAATACTTCAATCATTCAATACTTAAAAGCTTATGAATGATCCACAATTAACAACTCAAACTACAACTCAAGTATTAAACCGATACTTAGAGTGTATTAGAATTATAAAGACTTAGACTTCTAAAACAGAAGGAATATATTCTTCTTCAAAAGTTGCAGTTAAACGAATAAGGATCCAAGTCCTAATAAAGGCGCAACAGTGGGCTTGGGATGAAAAACAATATTCCAATCCCTTGAGTATTTCCATGAAAACAGGCCAAGATTTAATTCATAAGGATAATGTAAATAGAAAAATATTCCTCCATATTTTTAGAAAGCTATGAGTCACAAATGATGAATAATGGTGCGCATAAAAATAAGAAACAAAATATTGGAAACAAATATGAAGTCACATTCAGATCAGGAGGCAGATGTCAAGACAACTGCTTTGACATCATTCAGAACCAGTTTGCTTCAAATTTCAAGACATTTAGCAAAAACATTATCAAGTCAGTGTTTTACCAAAATTGATGCCAACATACACTTACAAAACTCCCCCTTTGGCAAATTTTGGCTAAAATATTATTTGAGCACATAATCAGAGCAGCAACACAAGCAAAAATAAAACTCAGTTAGTAGTTAGCAAAAGTAACTCAGTCAGCTGTTAGCAGAGGAAGATGTTATAACATCTTCAGAGACATGAGGCACTCCCCCTCAAACATTTTGCTCCCCCTCAGTCAGTGGTCACTCAGTCAGAGGTCAGTCAATTTCTCTCCCCCTTTTTAGACATAATATTCCAAATAAAACATGCATTCAAGAGAATAACAGTAATAGAGTATGTCAAATAAGTACAGACCATAGAATCCAAGAGTCAAGCACATACAAGTGCCAAAAAGGAACATAGGGGTCAACACAACAAATGGTCTAACTGTCTTCAGGACCAGTAGACTTGGCAGAGTCATAACTTCCTTCATTATTAGAATCTCCTCCTTCAGTGCTCACTATATCATCAAAATTGTTGTCCTTCTGCAGCTTCTTGATCATCTTTTCAAAAATTAGCTTTCTGCTGAGCTAACTCTGATCACATCATCAAGTTCTTTGTAGGCTTCCCTTAATTCAGTAATCATGTCATCCTTGGTTGAGGTCTTGTTTTCAGAAGATGCAGATGTCAAAACAATGTCTGAGACATGTTTTCCTGAAAACAGTTTGAAGTGAAGGGTTAGAGCAGACTCCCTCTTGCAAACTACATCATTACCACTTAGAATTCTAGGATGTTGATTAAGAATAGTTCCACAAATAAGAGACGGAAACACATTAGGTATTTTGATAGCACATGCTCCTGCATGCTTAATAGTCTGATAAAAAATGTAAGCACCATAATCAAACAGTTTCTTATTTCCAACAACATAGATAAACTTTCCTAAGCCAATTGTAATGGTTGAGGTATGATTGGCAGGAACCCAGTTAACAGCTCCAGTTCTATGCAAGATAGCATATTTCACACTTAGCTTGCTAACAAGAAGCTTATTCTTCATGGGCCACTCACTCACTTGGTTTGTAGTGATGGCTTTGCACACTTGATTATCAGTTATTTCCATATCACAATAATCATATTCAGACCTATCTAAAAATCTATTGATGACAGCAGGGGGAAATTCTACACACCTACCTCTAACAAACACCTTCATATACTCTTTACTTTTATGATCAACCCAGTCAATAGGAATATTGACAATAAATTCTTTATCAAGAGTCTCATAGCATTTTGAAAACCTGGTGACAGTCTTCATCAATCCAACGGAAGAAATCAGCTCCATAATCTCTTTGCACTCCAGTGCACCAACTCCCAACTCTCTTTCAAGGGAAATTCTTCTTTGAAATACATATTTCCACTTTTCAGCATTCCCAACAGAATGGAAGGAAATGTTGTCTAGAGGGGCATCAGGTACCCTAACAGAAAGCTTCTTCCTTGTAGATTTATTCACAGGAGAGATATCTTGGACAACTTCCTCAACATCATAATCAGAGTCAGCTTCATCTACTAATGCATCTTTCTTCTTACTTCTGGATCTCTTCACAGGTGAGTTGTTCTGGACAACATCATCATCATCATCTGTGGAGCTATCATGTCTAGCTTTTCTTTTTTCAGAGGGAGGAACCACCTTATCCAGGACTTTGGGGGACCATACACAGTCTTCTTCTTGATGCACTTGGCAGGGGGTGTGACATCCTAATTTTTTATTTTTCTAGTCTTGAGCCTTTTAGTAATCCCAGGCACCACATTGGTAATAAGGTCATTGTCATATAACTCATCAACATTCACCATATTCTCAGCATTTGGATTCTCTGCAGCTTTGGAGCCAACAGCATCTTTCTTAGCAAGAGAGTCCTTCTCAACATCTTGTTCAACATCAACCTCCACTTCTTCCAGAGCAGAAGTACCAAGCTTGCCAAGTTTGCTTTCATCAGCATCTTTCTTGAAGGTGGATGATTCAGCGGCATTTTTAAGATCATTTTCTTTGTCAGTCGGAGCAGGCATTCATGCAAGAGGATTTAAAATTCCAGGCACAACAAAACCTTCACTTAACACCCTATCTACCAGCCTTCTAATACTTCTATCAACATTAACAATATATTCTTCTGTCCTATCATCAGTAGCAGTAGAGCATTACCTTTAGAAGTGTCAAACTCGTCTTTGAATTTCTTGTCCACAACATTTTATTTATTGTATTTTTTTTATTTTTTATCCACAACTACATTATTATTTTTAAATAAATGTTTGGATATATTAAAAAAAGAAGAAAAACGAAGAAATATTAATACACAAAAAATGACAGGGGATTATACAAAACCCTTTTAAGAGGAGAATTAAAAAAATAAAAAATAAAGTAAACACATTCTGTTTTTTACACAATCTTACCTAATACCTAAAGGCAGTTAATCAAAAATAAAAATAAAGTAGATAAGTAACCAACAAAACAAAAAACCGCGTTTTTAATATTATTTCCAATTGTATTTAAAAATCAACAAATTTTTTCATTTCTTTAAGTGAATTGAATACTATTTAATTTAAAGTAAATAAAAATAAAGAGAAATTTGTTTGATAATAAGAAGAAACTTTGTTTTTTTAAGAATAATGTTTTTTTAAGAAATATTTAAGATCATGCTTTTTTCTAAAATAAATGAAAACTAACTAAATTGATAGAAAAAGTCTAAGAAATCTATTTTATTTTATGAAAAGTTATTATAATTTAATTAAATAAAAATTATTTATTACCAAAAATAAAAATAAAAGAGAATATTGTTAGTAAGAATATGTGAGGCAATGAATTTCCGTTTATAACTGTTAAATTAAAATAATATCAAAGATTTAAAATGAGCGTAATTATTAATATAATTTATAATTTAATGGTGTAATTATATATATATATATTGTCAATAATTTTTTTTTACAGAGCAGTACATCACAATTATTTATAGATATTATTTTGTAAATAAGTAAAATAAAAATCAAATTTTAATAAATATTTAATGGTCACGATTAATTGACAGTGTAAAATTGCTTTATACTGTCGGTATATATTAATTAAATTATATATATATATATATATATATATATATATATATATATATATATATATATATATATATATATATATATATATATATATATATATATATATATTAATAATTTATTGTATTAAATACCTCCCTAATTAAGAGTTTTTAATGCTATTGTGTTATTTTATGCATCTATATATCCCCTGGCCTAATTAAAGTAGGCAGTTTATACAAGAGTGAGAGTGATTTACTTGAGAGAAATACCAATCAAAAATCATTATGTCTAAACTTTTTTGTGTAACTCTTCTACTGTTTGTTACAGCATTCCTGATCCAAAATGCTTCCGTGAGTAATTATGTCTCCTTTCTCTTAACTTATTTTCACTTTTCTGTGTCCATCTGCATATATTTGATTTTATACCATTCCTTACATTCATACTAATATTTTTTTTCTTCTTTTATAATAAAATATATATATATATATATATATATATATATATATATATATATATATATATATATATATATATATATATATATATATATATATATATATATATATATATATATATATATATATATATATATATATATAGGCTGGTGGGGAAGGATCACTTCGTCCTCAAGGTACTCTTTTGAACTAGTATTTCTTTTAAAAATTAATTTGATTTATTATTATTAATCACAACTTAAATCTTAATTTTACTCAGATTGTTCGGCTGCATGTGACGTTCGTTGTTCAGACACTCAATATAAGAAAGCATGTGTAACATTCTGCAATATATGTTGTGCTAAATGTTTGTGTGTCCCATCTGAAACATATGGAAACAAGGAAGAATGCCCATGTTATAATAATTGGAAAACTAAGGAGGGAGAACCCAAGTGCCCTTAATTTGTTTTTTCATGTTTAAACTATTAGTCATACGTTGATCCTAGTCAATGTATGTTTTACTTGATTATTAATAAACGATTTATTTTTATTGCCATGTTCAAGTTAATTCATAAGCTTTTTACATTTTCTTATGGAATCAAAAAACTCATTCCATGTGAAGACATGACATTCGCGTTCTTCTAATTAATCTAAAATTTATCTATACTTTATATTCTATTATAAACTTAAAAATTGTAATTTGATTTAACGGAATATACAATAATAATTAATTAACATTATAAAATTAATTTAATAATGTATTTATTCATAAATGATAATGATAGTTTTGCTGGTAAAGCATCTTGGTCTACAAAATCAGCCCTTAATCTTCTAATGTTTGTTTCTTTTTGTTGTTGGTGTATTTGGCACTCAAAATTTGGCTTGATCCCCAATCTAAACCCCTTAATCACGTTGAAGTATTAAGTGGTATGTACTTTGATTGATTATAAAAATTTCACGATTTTACCTTACTGAAATATGTATTTTAATAAAATGTAATAAAATTAGAGTACCTTTTATTATAACACGCGCTTTAAATAAAATGAAAATAAAATAATTTTTATCAATTTTTTTTATCAATTCATAAATAACATAGATAATTAAACGCATCATATTTAATATTTCAAATCCTCTAAAATATATTAAATAAAATATTAATAAATTTATAAAATAATTAAGTTTTTATAAACAAAATAATAAATAAAAATAATAAAATAAAATACATGATAAAAGAAAGAATGTTGAGTTACATTAATAAAAATAATGGAGTTTTTGTAAAGAGAAAAAAAAAATTCTAATAAAGGAATACAAATTAGCGTATAATATTTATTAAGGATAATTTAAAATTTTAATAAAAATAGTGAGACTAATTTTGTCAACATAACAAAAATAGAATTTTTAATAACTCATCTCCCTCTATTCCTCTCTAAATCTCTGATTTAGCGGAACGGAAAACTACTTCATGTGGTATTTTGAGTACTTTCCGTACTCTCTCATTTTTCTTTTTAAAAATTGAACCAAACATATTTAAGTTAAAATATTTTTTCCACTTCAAAAAACTTCAATCAAATATTTGGACGAGGAGGGAAGAGAGGAGATAGAATATTAAAAATGAAGAGTGTTTAGTTCAATATTTTAGGTGGAGATGATAAAGAAGAGGAAGTGATTAAAATTTCTCTTGGAGTAATTTTATTTTAATGAAAATTATAATTTATCTTTAAGAAAATATTAAAATTTTGGGTGTAACTTCATTAAACCACCACTGAATTAAATATTATTGTAGAAGTGTGCATTAAAACTTTGAGTGATGTGAAAAAGGAAACGTCTTTCAAGATTTTCAAAATCTAAAATCTAAAGAGCAACAAGAACGTCGAGGAAAGAAGTTGGAGCCATATGGACAGTATGGCAGCGGTTAATCGCAAGTTGGAAGAAAATGGAAGATCGCGGCGGTGGTATGGAGGTTGCATGCTACATAGCAGAGGAGTACAACCATCTATAATAGACCTTTAGGGAACCTAAAAGTGGCGGTCAACATCAATCAGTGCAAAGGTGGGTCGGTCCAGTGGGGCATTTTGTGTCTGTCAGGCATCAGGTCTGGTTTAGTCGGCTTGCGTGTATCCACTACTACGAAAACCCATTTAATAATGGTTGATAAATACATAAAATCACGCAGGACCAGGCGTTGTTATGTAGAGTATTGTTGTAAATTCGCTACTAATAATCACTGTCATGGGACCGTTGTAGTATATTGGTTATCTCGTGTGATATCACAACGATTATGGTTATTAACCATTGTGATATATAAGGTACTGGGTTCGAAATTCAACAGCAAATAAATTACAAAAGATCACGGTTAATATAAAAAACCCGTTGTGGAACGTACCCATAGTTCATTAAATACAAATGTATATTGTTTGTTTTACCATACACTTCATTAAAGAAATACAACCATTAAAATTGGTAAAGAATTATATAATCTGAAAATTAAACTATTCTTGAAAACCAACTTAAACACATCATTGTATTCAGAATTGCATGCGTCCCATTCAACACTTTTTATATTCTTTAATACATATATGGTTCAATGATCGGATTCATTTAATGCATCGATATCTTTTATTATTGTTTACCTCATCATCGTCACTTATCATCGTGATTGTTATGATGGCTTATCATCATAACAATCATGATCTTAACAATCACGGTGATACGCGATAATGACGAGGTAAAGTAGAATAAAAGATATCGATGTATTGTAGGAAACCGACCATTGAACCGTATATTATGGGTTAAGGAACATAAAATGTGTTGAATGAGACATATGCAATTCGGAATACAATGATTGAAATATGTTAGTTTTCAAATACATCTTAATGTTCAAATTATAGTTTCTATGTCAATTTAAATGGTTGCATTTCCATTAAAAGGTTAATGAAACAAATAATATACATAGAATATAATAAACTATACTACATATTAACATGTCAATCTGTATAAAAATTTAAAAAACAAAATATTACTAAGTCACAAGAAGCCTTTTTCTTACGAGTTAGAAATGTTTTGTTCTTGTTTTGAGAATATTTGTCAACAAAAACATCATACAAAAACACAACAAATACATGTAACATAATAAAAACAACATACATTTTAGCAACAAAACACTAACAACATACAATATCACAAAATATATTAAGTTGTTTATAGAACGCACCTTTTATTGAAAATAATCGTGGATCTATGAAGTTCATCTAGTTTGTGAAGCAATGAAAAAGAAATACAAGGTGAATGAAGTTTCCATAATGACTTCATGTTTCTTGTATTTTTTTCATTGCTACACAAACCATATGTACCATTATTATCAACTCATGTTATACGCTTTCTACCACCATCATCATCGCCATATGAGGTTCATCTAGTTTGTGAAGCCATGAAAAAGAAGTATAAGGTGGATGGAGTTTACACAATAGCTGCATACTTCTTATACTTATTCTCATAGCTTCTCAAACTAGATAAAGTTTGTTGTTGTTTTTGTTGTTGTTGTTTCTTGAGTACTACAAATACCATGAATATTATTAACATGTCAAACTGCAGACTTATTTGTCAATAACACAACATGAAACAACAACATAAAACAACATAGAACCAGAAAAGAACAATAAACTATCTAACAAGAAGAAAATTATAGGAAAAACATGTGAAACATAACAACAACATACACAAAAAAGAGAGAGAATAAGGAAAAAAAAGAATACCTTTATGTAAGAAGAACAAGATTGACGGTTATAGTGTAGAATAGGAATGTTAATGATGATGAAGAAGAAGAGAAAAATGAGTTATAGGATTTTATTGTGAAAGATATGGCGCTAATGTCAAAGAGCGGGTGTAAATTTGCTTATATATAAATATACTCACAACGGGTTACAACACCAACCATGGTGATATATATAAATGTGTCACAACAGTGGAATACAAGAACCATAGTCATAACCATTTAATTTTTTTAATTAAAAATACATAAAAAAGAAAAGGCGCACTTTAACATTAAAGGAATAATATATATGAGGACGCTGAGGTTCAACCCATGAAAGCTTTATGGTATCACAATGGTTGGCTTCTCAATTGTTGTTGTATACAAATAATTTTTAATTAAAAAACAAAAATAATATGGTTGCGCCTTAGTTTATAGATGTCACTATGGTGTAGAGAAGAACCGTGGTGACCATGACATTATTGTTTACGCGTTTTATAGTAGTGATCAAGTTTGGTCATTTCATTTTACGGATATGTAATTTAATGGGTTGTGTTTTGTGGTCGTTAAGAATCAATTAAGGTTCATTAGTTATAAATATGATTCTATATCATTCTTGTCTTGACAAGCTTCAGAATATAGTTTAAAAGATAGAATAAAGAGGTGACAATCTTAGTAGGAACATTTAGAAAGACAATGGTAGAAATTCCCTGAAGTTATTAGAATTTGGAAAATTCTTAGGCTTATGTGATTGATATATAGATAATTTGAGAGATTGAGAAATACTTGGGGTAGAAAATAAATTTTATTCTTGGCACTTGGGGGAATATTTTCTTGTAACTATTTTGTAATCCCTTGTAAAAACTTTTATATGTATAGTGAAGCAGATAGTTTTTATCTCTCCTATATTAGATCAGTTTGATTGAACTAGGTAAATAATTTTCTTTATGTTCTTGTCTTTTATCTTATTCTAAATTGTGTATTTTCCTTCACTCTTAACATATTAGTGTGTTGCTTGAGGCCATAGATTTTGTTTACCCTTGTTCTTTGTCCAACTCATCAAATTTCTTGTGTGTTTGATGCAATAAACAAACTCACTAGAATTGTTTGAGTTTTCACAAGAAGGGGAGCCCACTGTGGGGAAATGGGATTATTTATAAGTGAGCACCATGAATTTTAAAAGGAAGATCGAGAAGTTTTTTGGAGTTAACGATTTTGGGTTTTGTAAATTAATGATGTAAGCAATCTTAACTCAATAGAAGTGTATCGAAAAGTAGAAGGGTGAGTTGTTTGTGTGTATATTCCTAACACAAGAAGATAAGACCAAGATGGTGGATACATCCAAGAGTTCTTTTATCTTATTCCCCGTAGATAAATTTATAAGGGTAGTCTCCAGGGAAAATATTGTGTCTTTGTTGTGGGTAAAACTTGAACCATTGTATATGATAAGTATTTTCCTACAAGTTATGTTTTAAAAAACAATTTTATTTAATCCAAATTGTAGAGAGCAAATCTATATTGAGAAATTGGAAAATTTTCACAATATTATTGATGATCTAGAGAACATTGAGGTAAAGATTGATGATGGGGACAAGGTTATACTTTTTTTAAGCTCGATATCCAGATCCGTTGAGAAATTCCAGGATGACCTTATTTATAGTAAGAAACGTACAATTACTTTGGATGAAGTCCAAGTGGTTATGAGATCCAAATA